GAGACAAGGATGATTAGTAGTCGGGAAACCCTGTGAAGAGAGATTGAAATAACTGGGCATGTTTGGCCAGAAGAAGAGGACTAGGGGAAGATATGCTAACATTTTCCAAATCTGCAAAATGCTTCACACAAAGGAAGGCTGGGAACTTCAGTCAGAGTGCAGGCAGCCAGATTCCAGCTGGACATCAAGAAAAACTCTGTGGACATCAGAGCAATGCAGCAATGGAATCAATTATCTAAGAAGGTGGTGGGCTTTGCCATGTTGGAGACATTCAAGAGGCAGTTAGAGAGCCATTTGTCAGGAATGTCTTAACTTGGAGTCCTGCATTGAGCAGGAGGTTGGGCATGATGGCTTTCTAGGCCCCTTCCAACTCTACTATTCTGTGATTCTCTAAACACTAATAGAATTTGAAATGCCAATGCCAAGAATTACCAAGGAAGTAATCTTAGGGACGGAGTGGACAGCTCAATGAATATGTCTCCAGTTGCAAATGACAGTAATGAAAATGACAGTTTCTGTGTAAGGGATTATTGGGAAGGAGAATGAAACTAAATTATCCACTGTCCTGCCATCAACACTGGATAAGGTTGTTGGTACACAAACAAGTGAATCAAATAACTTTGCAGAAAGCTTTGTAACAGATGAGAAAAGGGCAACCGCAAGAACGTTCAGGGTGGGGGAAAAAAACCCTTTGGTATTCCTCTCCTCTTTTCTGCCTTCTGGTTGGCCAGAGTGGGGAGAGTGAGTAAGCAGGGGAGTCCTCTCCACCCAGCAGATCTTTAGCATTCTTGCCAAGATAAAGGGTGGTTTTGCCTTCCCACCTTCCTTCTGAGACAATAACATTCCATTAAGTAAATATATCTCAGGAAATCTAGAAAGCAACAGTACAAGAAGGAGCAACCAGAGGTTTCAAAATGGAATTCCCTGAAAATTAGCCTGGAATTGCAAGGAGCTGCTAAGCGGCAGGGTAAGGAGTATAGTCATGCCATATGGAAGAGCCTCACAGCCCCCTTCCTCTAGTTGAAGCCAAAATAGAATATTTGCTTTGGAGGCAAATTGCATTTGGAATATCGTTCATGCCAGGAGAGGCAAGCTCATTTCTTGGGAAAGGCACAACCTAAGGTGGATTTGTAAAGCAGAGAGCCTCAACTATTAGGCAATATAAAAACAAATTAAATAAATAAATACAATTGCTTTCTTTTCACCTGCAAATCATATTTTTATAGGAGCTATACTTGATATGTCATTGCTCAAAAGTGTATTTTTAAAAACAACAACAAATCTGTGGCATTTTATGAATACTGGGAAACATTTTTACTCTGGTCAAAAAACGGAATACAAATCTAATTGATCAAGGCTGCCATTGATTTGACTCTCTGCTGAGACTTCATAAAATTGGGATGTGCATAGATCTCTTCTGTGGAGTAATGGCCATCATCAGCATCATTCACCTTCCATTTGTTAAATTCATACTTTGGACTCAGTTCTAGCCAAAGCAACATTTATCTGTAGCTGCTTTCTCTAGTAAATAGACTCATATCTGAAATGAGGAGCAACTTAAGTCATTTTATGAAACAGAAGAAGGTACATGGAAACAATCTCTGGTGGGGGAGAAAGCCATTCCTAACCCACCATGGTACAACCACACAATGGGTAGATTAGGCTGATATATAGTGATTGGACTAAGGCCACTCTTTATAATCATTGCATAGTGAAGGTATCACACCAGTCTAACACTTTTACCCATCTTTCCTATCCCATTGACTGGAAATGATGGGGACTTGTAGCTGGGGAATTCTATACCACATTGGTCCTCAAAAGGTTTTTAGTTTGTTTATAATCCCTGCCACAAATGTGCTGTGGAGAAGCTCTTGCTGTGAAGGAGTTTCCTTTTCATTAATTTCAAGTAGGCTTTAGGAGCCTAGCAGTGGGGAAGATGCTCAACACGTGTCTCCTTCCTTTCCTCCCATATGAGTAGACACTCCTATCGCCCATGATGCTTCCGAAGGAGGCTGAAGGAGAAGGATGTGAGTTGGAACAAACCACAGCCACATCCTCTTTTACTAGCCCTGAAACTGCTGAAAAGACAGGCAGCAACTAGTGGCTGTGATCTAGAAACCAAGCAAGTGGCCATTTTCTCCCCTTTGCACCGTGTAGCTGATGAGCCAGCATTCATGGGTATCAGTTACTCTAACTTCTTTAGTCTCTGAGTTACTCTGGAGATCCTGAAAGTGCAGAAATAGCTATGTCTGAAAAACTAGGCCACCAACTCCTGTGGGCAAAGGAGTACACATGTGTGCACGCACAAAATGAACAAACACAAATCTCACACGTGAACAAATCCTAAAGTGGGCACTTAGATCGTTCAACTTTCATATTAGTTGATGAACCTCAACTTTTCACACTTCTGATGAACTTGTTTCATCCACACTTGTGTCAAAGTAAATGCTCAGTTATATGGAATAATTCCTCATGAATGATGTTTTATTGAGAATTTGTCCACTATACAGAAAAACAAATCAGTTCAGCATTACCATTCAGGCCTAGATACAGTCCTAACAATAGCCTTAACACTAGTCTGAAACATTTCAAAGGTTTGAAGGTTCCTTTCAGTTCCCCTCTAACATTCCTCTCTTCATTTCAGTTTTGGAACTAAGAGTCATTACTGTTCTATCTCTGACACTTTTGGGGCTAACTAATGCTACCCATACCCTCAGTAAGCAAATCCCCTCCTAACCATTTTCAGCACCAGTCATAGTTGGCTCTGCAACTGAAAGGGCAAGAACAGCCACAAGAATGGCACAAAAGGAGAAAGAGTTCAGGATCCCAATTCCCTATGGCCCATTAGGCAACTGGGCAGCATTGCTAATGCATTAGAGGCTTACATAACCACATAAAATACACATATAACATAAAATGGACTGGTAGCACAGTTGGTACTATTCTTAGGTTTCAAGGCCTCTTTAAGCAATATGCTTTCAGCACCTCCTTGCCACTGTCTGCTTGCCTCTCCCCGGCCTGAACCCAATGCAAATCATCTCCCAAAGTTCAATGTATCCTTCTTGCTCCACTTACTTCTTGTTTGTTTGTAAACAGCCAATGAACAGGCAGCACAAATAGTGATGGTAGCAGGGTCAGAAAATTCCAGAGACCAGCAGTGGACAATGGCCTGAGCAGGTGCCCAATAATGCCATTCACAATGGTCATCCTGGTATTTGCTTCAGGTAGACTGCACTGGAGTGTGACTTAAGACAAACGATAATAAGCTGAATATGAACTTGAATGTATCACACAATCCTCCAAAGAGACGGGATTATCAATCGGTCAGGCCATGAAACGAGAGCTCAAAAATAGTTTCTGGTACCTTGCAAAATATTGATGTTTCAGAGCAAAGTTTCTGGTCCTTCATACTGCCAGCTTCTAAAATGCTCATGTGTCTGCCATCAAATTGTTTTACTGCAAAGTAGCCTGAGATTTAAAGAAAGGGCTTAATGCTTTTAAAATGAATAGATTTTTCTCAGTGTCAAAGGAAATGATTCAGCACACCTGACTCCTGCAAGCTACTATGGTTGCCTTCGCTGATTGCTGCTATGCCAAACTTTGACCACTGTTACCTTTTCATGAATCCCTTCTTCCACTGTCCATTGTAGAGATCCAAAGAGAGCAGGGAGGAAATAAAAATGACACCTCAAATTCTGGTATAGCAAAGATTATGTTATTATGAGTTGTAGTATTCATTCATTCATTCATTCATTCTCTATACTACCTGATAGCTGAAGCTCCCTGTGCAGTTTACAACAGTTACAGCATAAATTTATAAAAATGCTGCAAAAATGCTCAATATGTGTAATTTATTTTCTTAAAAAAATAAAGAAACCATATGAATCTTTGGTAAAACATGTTTTGGTTAGGATTTTCAACCCCCCTGCCTCACATCCCATGGGAATTAACCTCATAATAACTGGTATATTTTGAGGCGGGAGGGCGTAAGTATCAGTGGCTCTTGCAAAGGAGAGAAAGCACACAAATATGCAGGAGTCAGTATCTTGAAATCACCTCATCTTAAGCTGCCCGCGGACACAAATAAGTGCCTGCAAGGTTTGCAGAATTATATTGGCGATGCATTAGCTTGAAACCCTGGAGTGGCACCTTTGGGACACGCTGCACAAATCACATTCCTAAATGATTTATATCTTAGAGAGCAGATCTTTACCAGTGAAACCTTTTACGCTATTAGACGGCAGTTAACTGATGTCAAATTGACCAGTTGCAAGAGCAGTCTCCCCTCACTTTTTCAAAACCCTGATTCCAACCTATGTGTGCGTGTGTGTGTGCGCGCGCGCGTGTGTACCCTAGCAGAAAATAATTTGCAGCTGTAAAAATATCAGGTTGGATTATTTTTTTTAAAGGAGGGGGGAAAAGAAAAACACTACTCGATAGTTTTACATCGAATAATAAGAGATAAAAAAGGGGAGTCTGTGAATAATTAGAGTTTGCTGTCTGAAGCCAGTTGCAGTCACTGCAACTGATAATAAACTTAAACCCCCTTGAGAGCAGGTAAATGCTTTGCAACCCTGACCCCCTAGATCTCACATTACTTAACTACCCTGCAGCTCCAGCATTACATCACCGTTTCAATGATTGGTCCCTGCAGTTTAACTCTCTCCCTGTCTCCTCTGATTAGGAACGAAGGAGCAGCACAGGGAAGGAGCCGAAGGAAACTTAGCTCGAAAGTTTTCTGATCCTCGCTCGGTGCGGATGGGTGTTAAAGAGCCCAAGGTTTGCTCCACATGCTCAGAGCATGTTTATAACAACACAAAACAAGCCCCATCCAAGGGTAGAGTCGAAAAGGGCGTGAGGGCGGGGCGGAGGGAGAGAGACTGTGCTCCAAGAGGAAACGAGTAAAAGAGGCAAAAGGAAGAGAAGGACGCTCGGCTGGTAGTAGTGATAGCAGTGAAGAGGAGTAGAGAGCAATCAGAAGAGGAAAATTAAAAACAAACCTCATGGACATCACTGGGTCTGAATTCCCTGCTGAGGTGCAGAACATGAGAGCCCTGGAATGAGTGTATGTAGAACCTGAGCCAAAGCTTAACTAGCCCGAGTGAGTCATATCCTTCCCATTTGATTCCAGTCCAAATGATGATGTAATGCTCCCCCCCCCGGCCCTCTCTCTCTCTCTCTCGCCTGCTTTCTCTCTCTACTCTCTACGCTGCTTCCCTCCTCCCCTTCTCCTTTTTAGCTCGGTGCTAGTGAAGTCACCATTTAAATCTGGCAGAGTTGAAGTAAGAAAAAAAAAACTTCAATGTAACCAAAACAGCCCCAGGCGAAGTTCCAGACGCTCAGAGACTTGGTGGTGCAATTGCCATTAGAAACGGGTAAACAGAGAAAGAAACAGTGCCGCCTCAGAATGGCCTGAGCAGCTGCCTGCGAGAGATCAGAGTCAAGCCCCGGGAACGGGGCTGTCGGAGATTTAATGGTTTTCTTCAGAAGATGCTGTACACACGCTCGCTCGCTCGCTCGCTCACACACAGGCGCGCGCGAAGACATTCCCGCATATTTGGGGACCTCGAGAAAGAAAAAAAAACGGGGGGAGGGGGTGTAAGAGCAACTGTGAAGATCGCAAAGGCGGAAAGACAAAACGAAACAAGCAGGAACAGGAGAGGAAAACTATTTGAACTATGCTTGGACTTAAAGGGAAGCAACATAAGCATCTCTGCGAAAAAGAAACCTTATCGGAGGAAACTGGAGTGTCTGTTTTTGAAGGCCGATAGAAGCCTTGAAATTGATAGGGAATTGTGCCCCTCCATGAGATGCTCGGGAAGGCGTAGGCCATGCACACTGGCAAGAACGGAAGTGGGCATGCCCTGTCTGAGACTTGGTAGCGCCATGTGCGGCTGCCCTACCGGTGTATCAGGCTCACTGCAACATTTGTCTTCGAAAGGCAGGCATTTCTTCATCATTTTCACAAGTGGATGGTAGTCCCTTGGTTTGACTTCAGCCCTCTTCCCGATCTCAGTCTCTCTCAGTAGGTGCCCGGGTGGCATTCTGCCTGCCTCTTCACGGTTACCCATGATAAAAACACCATACTATCTGCTCAATTTTACTTCAACCATAAACTACTAGTGCTGCTCTAAGCTTTATTGATTTCCCGTACCGAAAACAATTTCTGTGTCTGATACAAGAGATGTCAGTTGTAGCAGCAGTTTGTGGGGTAGCTACAAGAATAATGCCATTTTCATATTCTCAAGACAATTGGAGGAACCAGAGAGAAAGAAAACTCCCACCAGGCATAATTATGCATTATTACTTGTGGTCATCCAGTGAAATTTAATGAATGGAGGCTTGGTCTGAGAAACTATCCATTAACTACCACTCAGTTCTAGCTTTTCACAAGTGATTGTGTGAAAGAATTACGGAAAGTAAGGGGAACAAGATTCTATTGACACTTATTTTGGAAATTAGCTCAGATCATACCAATTGATAACTGGTTGCAGCAGAAGAAATAGGAATATGTATTTGTATGAAAGCATTTTGTGATTTATGTACCAGTGCAGTCTTCTTTCATGATAATGTAAGTGCTGTAATTGCACTAACAACCTGAATGCAGAGGCCTGGTTCTCACAAATGGTCCTTATGCAGAAGTATGCAAGGTTGCTTCCAGGTCGTGCTTTCACGGTGCCCTTGACCTGCTTCAACCACTGAATTTTATAGGATCTTGACAATAGTGTCTTCAGCTTGCAACTTGCCCTTGTTTTCCTACTTCTTTGGTCTAATTTGCTAACTGCAGAAAATCCATTAGGAAAGAAAAGACAGAATAGCACAGTGCCTTGCATTGGGAGCCTTCCATCTGGAAGCATCCCCAGTAAAATAAACTGGTTTCCTCAGATTGATGCTGTCACTGAATTTCAAGAATGTCTCTTTTTCTGGCTAGTGACAGTTTCAAATATTTTGATTTCTGTTACAAATTTTAGCTATCTCTGGAAACTTAGACGCTGTGATATGGGGCTGAAGTGATAAAAGAGGGGTTATCCCATTCTATGGATAAGGCAAACTCAATGGATACTGGCTGGTTACTGAAAGTGACAGCTTTATCAAGTGACACTGCTCTGAACCAGAGGTGATCCTCCATAATTATTACTGGCGCCGCTGAAGCTGGTAGCTTGACAGTATCATGTGTAGTTGTTATAAAGTTTGGTTCATTGTGTCATTGGCCTGCATAAGTCATTTATGTCTGAATGACCAATTATTGATTTCTCATCTTCTGTAACATAATAAAAAGAAGTTTAATCACCCTAAAGCTTTCTTTTATTCCCAGGCATTACATCCTACTTTAATTCAACTACAGTTGTAAGCATATCTCTCTCTATTCCCAGCTGCCCTGAAGGAAAAATAGTTTTGAAGGGCAGGATATAAATATTATAAATAAAATAATAAAATGTAACAGTTGCAAGGCTTTTGTGAAAGAAGTGATAAGTCTTCTGTTCTAAATATATCTCATTAGTTTTCTTGGGTATGCAAGTCTAGGAAACTGAATTAAATAACTATATGGTACTGAGGAAAATGATTTAAAATATCTGCTTCAAAAGACAAAAGAGATTTTTTATAACACCAGAACCTGAAGAAATGTTGCTTCAAATAGTATTCCTAATGTTTTAGACTGAGCATTTGATGATAGTTTTCAGTTGTTTATATGGGTTTATTCATATGTATTTACCCTGAAGTGCAAGCTGTAATTTAAAATAATAAATAATGTTGGTGGGCTATTTAGAAAGGGTTTATAAATACAAACCAAAGCAAAGTCACTGGGTGAGCGCAATCCAACATCACACCTGGAATGGCCCCAAAGACTCCACTGTGCTTCTCCCTGCATTTTCATGTTCCCCCAAGTGTGGGGGTCTTGGGAGAGCTCAGGGAGAAGGGGGGATTGTACAATTCTGTGTTCCAGTGTCACACTTACTGGATTTCATCAGTTAAAAACTGAATACTGTCATTGATCTACCCTCTAACCATTTGCAGATAAACATCTCTAGATCTAGACAAAAAGCCCCCTACCAATATTCCAACCAAACATTGCTTGAAGGCTGTACTCTTGTGCTCTGTATGGTATATTCATTTACACTGTTGCAGCCTACACTGATTTAAAAGCCAAGATACTCATTTCTCTTCCCCCACCCTCTGGGTTAAAGACATGTTAGAAAAGTATAATTGTTTGCTATCACAGTTCAAAAGACACCTCAGCAGCTGCAGCCCAAGTCATGGCTGGCTGTGCGTGGCACAGTGCTTTTAGTATTCATGCACATGCATTTATATCTGGGTCCTCCATGGGAGGTAATTTTTCTCCCTGCAGCCTCCTAATTTGTCCCGATTTAATGTATTGTAGAGATGTTGCTCTGTTTCATTCAATAGAGGGGAATTAAATGGCTGAGAGGCAGGTCATTCTTCCAGGTCTTGGATAGGCTCAGAAAAATTGGATAGGCTCAGAAAAAAATTGAGAACTGAATTTTGGGGGAATATCTCAGGCCCTTTCTGTGTTAATCTGAAGCAAGCTGGGTCTTTGCTTGTCTTTAGGATGCATGGATTATAGTCTAGTATTCTCTGCTACAGCTATAGCTGTGGACACACAAACAGAGCTCATGCAGCACTGCCTACAGCTGTATTGTCCTTGAAACAAACAGATATTTGTCCATTTGTTGCTTAAAGCACATCTACAACCCCTCCCCCTGGGTCATGTATCTTCATGGGCATAAGATATTTGCAGGTGCACAAGGTCTTTCCATATTTTTTGGATATCTCTGGAGCAGCTTTGTACCCGTATCCATCATTTGCCAGATCCATAAAATTCGTCTGCATGGATGCTTGTATTCTTTTTCCCCAACCCCAATGCAACAGTGCTGAGTTTCTTCCACATGGTGCCTGTGATTGGGCTTGTACTAACTAGCATTGGAAATATTGTCTTATGTTACGAACCCTTTCAGAATCAAAGGTATTTTGCATGGAATGTGGTTGATGCAGACAAATATCAAAATCTGTGAGTTCAAACTTGCAGCAGAATTAATTGGCTTCTTAGAATCAATAAAGGGTTAAAAACACATTTCATAATTTGCTAGATATATTTGCAAAAAAAAGAGATATTCAGTTTAATCATGTCATTCATATGTTCCATATTCATGAGTGTGCTGACAACTAGGGAACTTATCAGACTGTTTACTCAAGGTAATTCGGATTCAGAGAATCAACATGTGCTTTTCAATCAGGTTAAAGGTTTAAAAGACATTAAAAACAAATTGACATGTTGAGGGCATGAAAAAGTTACTTCCAACCCAGGTATTTTCAAGGTCTGTTGATTCCACCCGCCTGCTTCTTACAGGAAACACTATTTTCCTATTTTCCTTCCTGTGACCTGGACATGATGAATACTTTCCTGTAGTCCAGAGGAAATTCCACTCAGATACCAAAGCCATACCTTTTCATGTGCATTCATTATATTCCTTTCTATCTCTTTCCTTCCCTACAATGTTCAGTCCTCATATTTCTAACATCCACACAAAAGGAACAGAGCTGTAGTAAAGGGAAGCGAAGGATGTTTTAATTCTAAAGGGATCCATCTTCAAAATTTTGCCCGAGGCTCCGTTGTGCAGATTTGCTGAGGAATGTTTGCAGCCCCCTCCCTGAAGTGTATCTCATCCTTGGGGAAAGGGTGGTGTGGCAGACATCACAGCTGCCTGATGTAAGCACCGTTACAGTTCCATGGCTCTGGCTGCAAACTCTGTGTCTCCACAACCAGCAATATCTATGTTTTGAAAATCACATCATCCTGAGATTATTTGGCAAGAGCCTGATCAGCTGAAGCTAGCACATGACTAACATTAAAAATATTTCAAAACCCAGAATGTGAATTCATGAGTTTAAGTATGTTATTATTTAATTAAATATGAAGTCTTACACATTTACACACAGACACTAGAATATGAAATACTCCTACTACAAAGCAGTTCCACTGAAATGGTGGGGCTTACAGCCCGATAAATAAGCTTTGGGTTAAGATACACAGCAGGAACTTTTTCATTGAAAAACTACAGGACACATTGGTGGAGGTTTCATTTCTACATTACAGCTAAATTTTAAAAAGGGAATTCTTGAATTTCAGCTGATGCTAGTTCCACTGATTAGAAGTAGAATAAAATCAGCTTAAATCTAGGTACTTTATGTGAACTAGTTTGTGCCCCAAGTTTATAAATTCTACAGTTGGGGGAAAATGCCAATATTATTTAGCCTTTTATATGGGCTAAAATAATTCTCAAATAATTGTTCTCCATTGGGGAAAGTCTCATTTTCATACAGACATCATTTTTACTTTTCAACTCAAGATCTTTCTAGTCCCTGTGGAATCAAGAAGGCCAGCAAATTTCAGGGTTAAATAAGCCTTAATGACTATCACATGTACAAAGATTTAAACCTAGCATTAAAAACTTTTTTTTAAAGTGGCATCTCTTCCTTTTTTAATTTAAAATAACCATCCAGGTGGTTTCCTAAGGACTTCTTTGCAAATTGCTTCCAGTGAACCCTTTCAGTCACAGCCCACTGCAAAAACCATGTGGAGTTATTCAGTATTCGCTTCGACTTGGGTGTCCTATGTTTTTATAGTGGACAGAACCATGGAGGATTTTTACCCACAGAGAGAGATACAGCATGGCCCACTGTGAACTGGGATGCCATTTTTTTTTTTTCACGAATAAGATAGCTTTGAGTGTGGAGAAGTCCCAGGATGACATTTCCAAGCATTAAAAATATGATTTCAGTCAGAAGGTTGAACCACACATAGTGTAGAAACCTTGAAACTGGAATGGCTTTTCCCTATTTTAAAACAGCTGAGGGGGTTCTAAACTTGAATGTGGCAGCAGTGCTGGGGGAATAAGGGCACCATTTTCTAGATCTAAATTCTTTCCCCGGCTATGAACCCTTCCTCAGAGAAAAAAGTATATAGGCACAATGCAAGTACCAGCTTTATTTATTCATTCATTCATTCATAAAAGGGCTCATGGCAGCATCATGGGTCACTGGATCAGGAAAACTGTGTGGAGTTAAGGGTTCATCTTGTTCCCCACATGGAAATATGAAAGAGCTCTGACACTACATCTTTTGGTCTCCAAACCTGAAAGCACAGGTAGAATCCTCACCACATACTTTCACAAAAGAATAATTGCAGGCTGTTCTAAATATGGAGCTATTGGCCCCCCCAAAAAATCATCATCAACTGTGATGCATTCCTAGTTTTGAGAACTCACAAAAGGGACAAGTGCATCATTCCCACTTTTCAGGGTGGCTTGACTTTTGGAATGCTCTCAGACATGAAATGATGAAATATTCTACAAGGTCATCAGACCAATGTACCCCAATCATAAACTAAGGAAGTACCTTCTGAGGTTTACTAAGTCTTCCTCCCATTCCAGTACCTTCTTCCAATACCTCTCAGGTGAGTTTGTCAAAGTGAGTTAATGTCACGTGGAGTGAATGGTTATTTTGTGTTTTGACATTTGCCCCATAGGAAATGGGGTGAGAAATCTGTCTGCTTTTTTCATATAGGACTATATAGGCAAATAGCCCTAAGGCAGTATGTAGTGGTGACCTGGAAATTAGCTCTTCTGTATCCAATTACTGTATTTGAGCCATGTGGTCCAATTATATAGATTTTTAAACTACAACAGTAAAACACATGTTTATAAGTAATTTGTCAATTTTTGAAAAATAATCTTTTTTAGAAAATCAAGTAGGAGAGATTTTTTTTCATCTCAATTAATCTCAAAGCTACTCCCAGATGTACCAGCATAAAATGAATAAAATTTGAGTTATATTGAAATATATTGTGCTGGCTGGTACAAAGTGCTGTGCAAAACTAGTGACAAAGATAATTCAGCACATCTTCCTCTACCTCACATGTGTGTGAAGAAAATGGCATCTCTAATTTCAATTCAGCTTCACTGTTTAACAGCATGATTCTACGCATGCTAACTCAGAAGTAAGTCCCACTAGGCAGCACCTAAGGCAATACTTATGTCTCCACTAAATCTCTTCTGTCCCTTGGATTGTATTGTGCCAGCAGTCCCTACTACTTACTGTGCAACTTTAGCACTTCTGGGGCATCTTGAAATAAGCAGAAACATTTCTTTCCAAATGGAGGCAAATTGCTGGAGCTTTCCAACCTGCCTTCTTCCAGGTTTTGCTCATTTTGGAACACTAAATTTCACTTGCAGAAGTTGTAGGTTGTACTTACACAGCACAGTCAGGGGAATCCACCACTTGCACAACAGAATTGGCAAAAGAATTGGAAAAGAACCAGTGGGAGTGTAATCTATGGAATCCTGCCCACTGTGTTCAGCAGGATTCCCTTTGAGATAAGGATTTATATGACTGAAGCTTAATTGTTCAATTGTGCAGAATTATGCATTTCCAATTTATGATGAAGAGACGGAAATTGTAACTTCATTTTATCGTAAAGCTAATTGATCAGGCGACAAGTTTCACCTGAATTTTCCAAAGGTTCTTTTCACAAAGCCCGGTAAAAGAGTCATACGGATCAGCCTTATCAAAAAATCTCAAGGCCATTCAGTATCACCTTTATACTCTTCCATTCAATTCTAACAGAGGCCTTCTTGAAAAAGTGCTTTCAATCACAATGTTGAGGGTAGGCATGGTCAACCGAAGTCCACTGACTAGATCCCACGGGATTGCTGCTCCTCTTCCCCATCAGAACCTGTTTTTTCGCCTGCCTCTCATTCTGGCCCAGTCAGTGGTGGTAACGCAAAGGAGGAGCAGTAGATGTCACCACCTACTTATCCACTGGCTGCATTTCCTGCCAGGCTAGTAAGTAAGTAAGATGATAAGAAAAGGCATGAGGATCAATAGGTGCTGGTGGCAATGACAAGAAAATAGACTCACTGCAGAAGTGGGCTTACCAAGGCTGTCTCACCCAATGTCCCTGTTAAGCACATGTAAACCATATGGCACAGACAGTGTCTTTTGCTGTAAGATGAAGAGTCTGGTGCTTTTTAAAAATCATTAGGAATAGTTAAAGCAGCTAGTCTTTGTTCCCATGAACACAATTCTTAAGCGTTTGAGCCTTTCATCTTGCTCTTCATGTCATCTCTCACGCATGTTAGCAGTAAATTTTTAAATTTTCATACTGCATTGACATGGGATCCTACTAAATTGAAACAGAAGTGAAAGATTCCTAAACTGTCAGTTCTGAAGTGGAGAATTTACTAGAATCCCTGAGCATCCCTAGGCAATTTGTCTCAATGGTAATTCATTTAAATCTTGGATTAACTCCCTAGTCATGTAACAAAATTCAAAGCTGAAGCTCCTACCTTTAGAAACACAATGGCAATTTTAGTGGGTATTGATATCCCTTTGTTCCTTGAAGTTACTAATTCCCTTTGAAATTTCCATATTTGTGTTGGCTGTACCTTCTTCAGCTTGCAAAGAGTTCCACAGGTCACTTACATATGGAAATAAGAATCCTTTTGTTTATTTGAAACCTGCTATGTGTTATTTTCATGTGGTGCCCTTTCCATACTTTTCATATTATCTGAAAGGGTAAGCAATTATTCCCTGTTCACTTTTTCCAGCCAACTCATAATTTTATGCATTCTGGATGCACTCCCTTCTTCCACCTTTTTTTTCCTTTGTTGAAACCAGTGAATCTGAATAATTTAAACCCAGGTTTTAGCATTGATCTGAATTAGTATAATGTTAGCCATTAGGCTAAAATCCTAGCCACACTTTCTAAAAAAAACAAGTCTGATTGAATTTACAATTTCCAAGAGAGTGTACCCAGGATTGGGGATCTGAAATATTTTTTTGATTTGTACACACATGGTTTCCCCACTTTAAATGTTGAACTAAGTTAATTACATCATGCAGCACAGTAAAACGATTCCAGTGTTCCCAAGGAAACTGTTTTCACTAAACATCAAGATTCCTTCATTTTAATCTTATGCTCACACAAGGCAAACATTTGGTTTTATCTAACTTCACAGCAGTCTCATGCTATATAACCCCTTAGTGGCTATTGAGATTAGGTAGGACAGCTTCCCCTTGATTCCACTGGTTATGGTCCCTAGAGACAACATCAGGAATTGCTCTAAAGAAAGCCTTTATGTTGCATCACTATCACTGATATGTCTGCGCTAGGCAAGCATCAGATCACACTCCAAGTACCATCCATCTCTGCTACTATTTGGCTAATAATTTTTCAAACTTGGTTGACCTTTGTCTTCCTTCTGTTTTGTTTGTTTTATTTAGTTTTGTTTTGGTTGTCGATTTGGTTTGTGCTGCATCTTTGACTGATTTTACAGCAAACCATTGAGAGGCTTTCATAAGCAGGGCACTTGGAATGTCATTGTTTTCCTTCAGTGATCATCTATACAAAAATAGTGACTCTGTTCTCAAATAACATGGTATTGGCATAAAAAGAGGCTAGATTCCAAATTTCTGGATGTTTGATGAGGGGTATGACATACTTCAAAAGCCCACAAGCTCCTCCAGCAACAACATTTAGCTGGATGCAACAAATTGCTTTACTTGTCCTGAATTTTTGAAAAACATGTGATCACGTTTGTTTCTGATATTATGAACCTTTGACTCACTTCTGACTTATGGCAACCTTATGAATGAATGTCCTCCATAGTGTTTTGTCTTTGACAAGCCTGCTCAGCTCTTGTAAATTTGACTGCACTTATCTCTATAATATATACCCTCTAACTTTTGAAATTCAATAATGATACCTGATGTCAAATTCAATTAGATCATCCTTCTGCAATATGGTAACCTGATCCTGAACAACAACTATTCGCACAGGCCATGTTGGGAGTTGTAGCTGAACATATATTGAATGGGCCAGGCTGGTGAAGGATTTATATTTTTTCCAACAGGGGCAGATTCCTGTTAATTCAATTGTAAATAAATCAGATGAGTTATTCCCCAGGTCCCAAATTAAGCAATGCAGCTTCATGTGGTAAAAAGAGACTGAAACTCTTGGGAATTTTTGAAGCATTCTTAGTTTCATTATACTGAAAAAGTTTCCTTTCCCAAGAGATAATTAAAATAAAACCATAATTCTAGCCAATGGGAATGAAACCTGCCACTATTTTAATGGATCAAGAATACATTATCCACAAATGCAAACTTTCAAAATAGGCTGTCCCACCCTGCTTAGAGGAACTTTTTATCATGTTTCTTTTTTTGTTTGTTTGTTGAGGATTTTGTTTACAGGAATTAGTGAAGAAATTCAGATATTTCAGTGATTCCTTTTTGCATGTTATATAAAGTACTTGTGAATAGAACAAATGCAAATAAGCAAATTTAATACATTAACTACCTAATTTGTGTTGTTTTCTTAGGAGCTGGGATCCAAAAAAGTAAAAAAAAAACTAGTTTCAGGTGTCCAAGAAAGATTTGGGTGTTGTTCAAATAGCCACTGTTACTATATCACCAGTAGTTTTTCTTAAAAAGACATGTAAAAAGAAAATCCGGGCCAGTTTCATAGAATCCATACCAAGATGTATAGTTTTGGGGAATGAGACATGAGAAAAATTTCTTCTTTTCCCAATTTTTTATTGGGGAAAATGAAATTTTGGGGGAATTTAAAAAATAAGTAATCCTGTCTGTCTGTCTTTCTTTTTTAGCACTTTTCACAGATCTAAAATCTTTTTATTGCTTTAAGACCATTTCCCTCAACCTGGAGCTCTCTAGATATTTTGGACTTCATCTCCCCACAGTTTCAGGTAACATGGCCAATGATCAGGAATGCTAGGCATTGTAGTCCAAAACATCTGGAAAGCACCAATTTGGGAAGGGCTGCTTTACATACATGAAGTAGCCTTTATGTTCCTGAAGTTATATTATGTATAACTCGGTCTGCTCATAAAATTATCATTATATTTAAGCATGGATAAAAGTAAACACAGTAAATTTGGATTTATTGCATGAATAAACTATATGTCTAAACTTAATATACCAAACATGATAATTTTATGAGTTAAACATAATACATTTAGGTTTGGATTTTATGTCGAATGAGTGGAAACTTCATCAAGTTGCCCTTGACACATCTGGATCATACCAGAAACTAGAAGAAACAGGAAAAACTGGAGGTAGAGGAAGAATTGTTTATGGCATCTGTTCTTGTTTGTAAGGAAGTTAGGGAAATATATAAACTTCCTTTTTGTGGGGTCAAGTTTAGGGAAATAAGATCTGAAGGAACAGATACTGTGATTTTATTTAGTGGGAAAAGATTCAGCTCAGGAATGTTAAATTAGAAGATACATTAATTGAACAAGATGGAATGGAAAAGTAACCATGCTTGGAATTTTATAGAGAGGGTTAAAAAATGTTTTCCCCACCGCTTCTTTATTTCCAGGCAGTGTGCATCTCTAGTCTTTCTCTAAAAGTCTTACAAATATTGGGGGGGGGGAGTAAAGGTTGGGTAGTTTGTCTTGAATTCTAGGGGGGGAATTCCTAATCCAAAGCTGTTCAATATTTCAGGAGCAGGGGAACCACCAGGGGAGTTTGGTAATTCCATGGCGCTCCAAGGAGATGAAGATCAGCACCATGGACAGCTCCTGCAAAGTTGAAATGAAAAGCCACAATGGATAAGGAGTCCCATCAGCTTCTCCTAAAATCTGTTCTTGAAAAATCTTAGGAAGAAAATTATTTTGCCCATTTCCCCACTTTTTCCTGGCCCTTTGTATCTCTCTTACCTACAGTAACATCCTAGTCTTTATCTTTGTATCAGTCGTGTTATGGATATATTTAAGGAAGAAGCCAGGACTAGTGACAAGGGAAAGCATGACAAGAGTCTGCTGGGTTGTGTCTCAGTCTTGCCATTGCAACCCACTTCTTCATCTGCCCTTCTTCATCAGTTAATAGGAGGAACAGTAGAGGCCACTGTGTGCTTGTTCACAGGTCTCTGCTTGTAATGAAAGAAAATGGTAGCTTTGGGGCAAAAAATGCATTGAAACAATAACCACTGATGACAAGGATGATAAAAAGGTAGACCTTCTCATCACTGAGGAGCCCTATTGATGGAATCTTTCCAAAGAGCTGCCAGAAATCTACAGCTGGCACTCGAAGAAGCCATGTAAAATCTTCCTATGTGAATTTCATTTGTACATCAAGAGAAGCAAGCATTCCCCTACTGATCTTCTGTATGAGCACAGTAATACATGCTAACAATGGGATTACTTCTTTCATCTCACTGCCACTAAATTCAGTGCTGACTCTATAGATTATCTCTCAGTTAGTAGAAATAGGGATGGGAAGAATTTAATTTGGTATGAGATGGAATTTCATTTTTAATTGAACTAACTTAATTCACGCTTCCTAACTACAGTGCAGATTGAATAACAGTTATCCCTTGATTCATATTAAGAAATCTGCATAGAAAATGCATAGGTTAGACAGCATTTATACAAACTTAAATGTGAATTTTATTGTTTTAAAAGGCCACCTCATAGACTAAGGATATACTTTATAGAATGGTCAAGTCAAAATTAGTAGGAAGGCTGGATTCTTAAAAAAGAAAGTGAACACATGATGCACAAAGCCCATACTTATCCAGGAAAGAAGTATGCCAATTTAAGAAAAAAGAAGCAACCTTCCTCAGATACCCCAGACTGTGTGGGAAAGCTGCTCCTGTTGTCAGCTTAATGTGTATAACTCAGTCCACTGGGACACGGAAATGAGAAAAGCTATTTACTTACATTAGAGAAGCAATTAAATAAATATTTAAATGAGGCTACTTGAAACAGATTGCCATTTTCATCAAAAAGGTTTCTTAAATAGACTACATGCTTCTCTTGTATTCTGGGGTGCACCTTGGGAGCTAAAGCCATAAACCATCCTGAGTTCCCATTCTTGGCAATAGTAGATTTGGCTGTATAAACACACAGATTTGCCACATTCTCCCATCAGATTCTCTAGACCAACCTTCCCCAACCTGGTGCCCTCCATCTGTTTTGGACTTCACCATCTACCAGACCCAGGCATTATGTCCACTGGTCAAAAATCCTGGGCACTGAAGCCCAAAACATTTGGCAATCATCAGGCTGGGAAGGACTAGGGTGGAAAGAAAGTAGTTCTTCAGATATTTTGCCCTTAACATCCATGTATATCCGGTTGTTGAAATCACAAACATCTAGAAATTTATGTTCTGTTCACTCCTGCTCAGTACCTAGACAACCAGAGCTAAGCAACCTGTTGTCCTCTAGATGTTTTAGACCAGAACTCCCAAAATTCCCAAACATCAACTATGCTTATGGGGGTTGATTGAGGTTGTAGACCAAATTTCTGAAGGGCACCTGGTTGCTTTCCTGTGCTCTAGAGTATGACCCTGATTTATGGTATTTCATATAGAGATAACTATAGATATAACCAGGGCTTTTTTTGTCATAGAACGCACTGGAACAGTGTTCTGGCACCTTTTTTTCCAATGGATTTTACGAAGTGATTTTGAATTGCCTGTCGGCGTAGCAGGTCAACAGTAAACATTATTAAATTAACATAGTGCCTGCGGACTGCTTTTGTGTCCACGCCGCCCGGCTTGGGATGCTGCTCGGCTTGGGATTGGTGTGTGTGGTCACGCACTGAGTGCTTACTGCTGGCAGCGACGTGAGTTCCGGCATCTTTTTTTTTTTTTTTACAAAAAAAGCACTGGATATAACAACCAAGATGAGGAGAATATATAACTGATAAATACAGAAAATCCTGCTATGATATGGAACTTTCAACAGTTTAAATATGGTTCCTATGGAAAGACATCTGAGCTGACAATGTTCAGACTTTTAAATGCACAATATCCAAAATAAGTTCTCTAGAATCTAAAATAAAAATGCAATATTTTCCAAACTCATTCCAATTTAATTTATTTATTCACATCCTACCTTTTTCTCCTTCCAAGGAACTCAATATGGCTTACAGGAGTCTCTTTTCCTTCTTATTCTCACAACAACACCTTTGAGATAGGTTGTGCTGAAATTTTATGATTTGGCCAAACTAACCCAGTAAGCTTCACAGCTATTTTCATTGAGTCTAGTATGATTAGATTTGCTCATCATACTAGAAATAGGAGTCGGAGAGAAAACATTTTGCTTTATGGTAGGCTGTAAAATCAACCTGGTGGAAGTATTTCATTTGTGTAAGGATTAAAATGGGTTTTCCTCCCTATATAAATTCTCTACTTATAGTATTGTATCATTTTAGAATGTAAGTGCTTTGGCACAGGAGCAGGAAATTCAGACAGGTAGGTAATTTTTCTGAGCTCTTGGACTGACTTAAGGCTTTTGGAACAAGATACGGAAATTTTCTACCTAGTATTTACATCCAGGCCTATTAATTGGCTCTTTAAGACACTAAATCAAATGGGCCATGGTCATCCAACTCAAACCAAGAGTAGTTCAACTGTCTTTGAATCAGAGGTGGGTTACATGTGTTCTGCAGCTCTCATGTACATTTTGCAGTGCTTGCTGCTGCCCCTCATATCCATTTATTTTAAAATAAATTGGAGAGAAATGGCATTTGTAGTGGCTACAGAGTACCAAGAGAGTCAAAATTAGCAGACAAATAAGTTAATTTTGACCTGTTGGACTCTCCATCCTACAGATACCATAAAAATGAATTATTTTTAGTATTTCCAGGGCATGCAGTCTGTTGTGTGTAAGGAGCCTGTGGGGATAAAATGGACCCTAGATCTCCTATAGCTGCTGCTACTGTTATATTATTACATTTGTATGCCACCCTACAGTCCATAGGACTCTCTGGATGGCTTACAACAAAACAGAAATAATACAAATTCAAACACAAAATAAAATACTATAATCAAAACAAACAATATTAATTGCAATAACAATGCAGAAATCAAAACAGAAATACTAAATATAGTAATATAATAATACCTAATATAAAGCAACAATAAAACACAATATAACCTCCCTGCCATCCACGCCAAAAACCCAGTGTCCAGACCAGCAGCGTGGCTACAACAGGGATGGTGACCACTTCACTTTCTTCCTTTCCTTGGTGGCAGCATTCTCACTACCAGTGTGGTGAGGGAGCCCAGTATGATAAGCAATGGGGGTTGCAGAAACTGTGCTGCTCTGTGGATGGTGCATTTGTAGGCCCAAATGGGCACCAAACAGGCACCAAAAAGGCAGAGCCCTCTGGCATCTGCCCTGGGCTGCCATCCAAGGCTGCTAACCTTGGCATCTCCAAGAAAAGGACCCTTATGAGACTGCTTCTCTTTCTGCAGATGTTTGTCCTACTGCAGAGTTAAACAACAAGAGGCCAGGAAGCCCTTCAGCACTCTGAATTTTGGACAGCCTCACTCACTCCTTATGACAGGGGTCCTCAATCCCCGGGCCCCACAGCAGGAGGTGAGCAGTGGGCAAGCAAATGAAGTCAACTGCAGCCGCTCCCAGCACCAGCACCATTGCCCCAGCTCCACCCCAGACCATCAGGCACCTCGCCTGAACAGTTCACAGTAAGGTTCGCGCCCTCTGAGTGCCTGCCTATTGTCTCCCCAGAGGCTGTGATGTATCTCCTTGTCCTGGGAGCTGTGGCCTATTTGCAGCATGCCCAGCAGGAGCTGTTGAGGTGGAAGAGGAGTCATCTGAATACACCCCGGAGCCTGTGCCACCCACTCAGGTAGGGGCTGAGCCAGCGTGATAATTTGGGCTCCTTCTCCTTGGTGCGTGGGCCAATGGCTAGACAAGCTTTCTCACAACTTTCTACCATCACCTCAGAGAGCCCCTGGGCTGCCCGGGAAGGGGCAGTGATGTGGTCAAGGCTGCTGGACCACCCCCTATTTAGATCTATCCCTTCCCCAGGAAATTTTAGCTGTGGGGTGGGATGAGAAAGAGAGAGAGAGAATGAGAGAGAATGGGGGGAGGAATGTAGGGGAGAAAACTGGCAAACTTTCCAGCAGCGCCAAGTTCCCTCCATCCCCAAACCCCCCGTGTCTGGTGCCTGGAGGTGCAGCGATGGAGGGCAGCTCTGGGACCCTGGAAGAGGGCAGCAGCCCCACGCTCAATCGCTCGCTCACTCATGCCCCCTGCATCGCCGTTCTTGGTGATGTGAACCCTACTGTAAACTGTGCATGTGAAGGATCTAGGCCATGTGCCTCCCACAAGAACCCAAAGCCCGGTGATCTTAGATGGAGCTGAGGTGGACACGCCTGCACCATGGAGCAGCCACAAACACAGATGAAACCTTGCTCACCCGCCCACCCCCCCCACCTCCTGCTGTGCAGCCCAGCTCCTAACAGTTCCCACTTATTCTGTATTATGGTGAGTTGTATCATTATTTCATTATATATTACAATGTAATAATAATAATAAAGTGCACAAAAAGTAATGCACTTGAATCATCCTGAAACTATCCCCGCTCCCCCAATCTGTGGAAAAATTGTGTTCTACAAAAACGGTCCTTGGTGCCAAAAAGGTTGGGTACTGCTGCCTTATGACATTTTAAAACTCCGAAATCCAGTTAAAAAACAAAGGGGAAAAAGAAAGGTAATTTTACACCTTAAATTCACTATTGACTATAGTTTGCTGGGATTTCAAAAGACTTGTAATGCTGCACTTCCTCAAATGAGTTTTGAATAATTTGAAAAACAAAATATTATGCTTAAAACAGTTTGATGGCCTTCTTTTGCAGAGATATATGACTAAATATCTCCAGTGAGTAATATGACTTGAAGCTATCCCAGCCTTAGGCTGGGATCTGTTCTCGTCTCCAAAAATAAACAGGGCTGGGCCTCTTTAATATGTACATGGAAGACCACCAAAAAAATCCTAGGGTGCTGCAGGAAGCCTTTTGGTGATTCAAGAGGTGGCACAATTCCTTTCCAGACAGCACTGAAGCCAAACCCTGAGGGATACTTTCAGTGGTGAAACTTGATTCCGCAATTAATGCTCTCAGTCATACTTGGGTTGGGTACTTAAAAAATAGAGATAGTTTCTGCAGAAATTCTGTGTTATGAAGCTCACAGCTTCTCCAGCAAATCAAGAAATGAAATGTTGTTGGTTATGGAGATGATGACAATGACTCAGGTTTATTCATCCCAGTTAAAAATTACATTAACAATGAAGAGTGCCTCTAAGCATGTGGATGGCATTTAACCGTCACTGAAATCACAAGAGTACCATCACACACTAGGATTGGGGGAAAGGCTTCCTGCTAAGAAGGGTAGCTAACACTGCTGCTATTACAATGTGGCTTTGGTTAGTATTGCAACAAAAGAAGTTGCCATTTATCTGGTCAGTCTATTTGTCCTTTTCCTCCCAGACTAAACAATTAAAATGCAACATTTAGCGGTATTTGCACAAATGTTTTCACTAGTCTGCAAAATTACAAACATTCCCCAAGAATTGCTTCTTCTGTTGTAGCCAGTGTGGCAAGTGGGCCATATTTCTAAGATTTCTGAACATTCCCGTGATTTGTGAACAAAACTCTTTTAGATCCCTGATGTGGAGACCATTCCCAGCACCTGCTACCTGAGATATGAAAGCCTGGGGATCAAACCTGCTGGAGAGACATGTGGTCTTCTATCGAATTATGGTTCCCCCCATGATTTGGGCCTGTACCCTCTTTATTTGCTTACATAGTTATTAGTCTCCACCTGGGATGTACAAATGTTAAAGAATGATGTTCCCAGATGAAAATATTGCCTTACCCAGGCTCAGTGCACTGGTTATCTAGCCTGATATAGTTTACTCAGACTTGCTGCAGCTTTTAGGTATCCTTAGACTCTGTTATTTTTTTATCCTTTTCATACATAGAATTGAATCTGGGCCCTCATATTTTCAAAGCTTCTGCTCAGCCATTTATATTAAGCCCTTCTCTAGGGCGTACCAGTACCAGTGCACTTTCTACATTAAACTTTTCCAACCTGGGACATTTGAGGCATGTCACACTACAGCTCCCATAATCCCCAATCAACAGGGCCACCTGATGATAGGAGGCCTAGACCAACACAACTGGAGGACACCTGATTGATGAAGGTGGCTTTACATGCCTTATAAAAACAAGCAAAATGAGCAAAAGTTGTGTTTGATAACCTATTAACCATAACACATTAGTAGCTTCAACTACAAGAAAAGAGGCATTTTTAATCTTTAGAAAACACAGTCAGAATAAAGTCCATGGAAAGCATTTTCATGCCCTGTGTTTTAATAGAAATCTGGATTTGTGAATGTTTGGAGGCAGGAGGCAGGAGGAAGGAAGGGTGGGAGGTGGATGTTCCTACAAGTCATTCTTTTAATGTTTTAAGCAGAGCTTTCCAATACCCTTTAACATAGTGCTTCTCAGTCATTCATGCTGGATCAATTATAATAAAATCCCAAAGAATCCTATGCTTTATTGTACAGGTGGCTATTTGTAATTGGTTTGTGTATAGGAGCAAACCTGGTTTGGTTGTTTGTCAGCAAATGCATGGCTTTCCTCTTTTGTGTCGTTATTT